CCCACCCAAGAATCATCCGGAAGGAAATGTGAAATTCACTTGTGGTGTTGAGTTTGGGGTGGACGAGCAAATCGGACGAGCGCTATATTATCCAGTCTTGGTCCCATTAAGATGTCCAAGGTCCAAGTTAAGGAGACAAATGGGGAGCAACGTCTTTAATTCTTTTGTGGGAATCGTGTGCTGTGCCTGGTCTATGCCAGGCACTGGGCCGGGGGCTTAGTGATGGCTAGGTCGCTGCCCTGGTCATTATGTTCACAGTTTAGAGAGGCCACCCTAGGAAACAAACACAGTGAGCTAGAGTGTGATTCACAACAGAGGGCTGGGGACCCAAAATGGGTCTTCTGACCCTGATAGCGCGTACTGGATGCAGAGGGGCTGCCTGGAAGGTTTGTGGTCAGAGTTTGCTAGGCTGTAGGGGAACATAGGTGAAAGTGCAGAGGCAGGAAAGAGCAGGTTCTGTTCGGGGCAGCAAGTAGCTCAGAGTGGTTGGTACACGTTGGGTGTGGAGGCGGGAGGGCAGGCAGAGACTGCTCCATGAAAGGAGTGAGATGCCATGTTGCGGGTGGAACGTCTTCCTGAAGATACTGGGCACCAGAGGACTGTAAGGAAGGAGTGACCTGATCAGCTCTGGGGTAGGGAGATGGCGCTGGCGGTTGTGTGAAGTGAGGTTCCGAGTGGGTTGACATTGATGGCAGGAGAACTGCCCGGAGGCTATTGCATGATTTCAGGCAGGAAATGCCAAGGGACTGCTCTCAAGCTGCAGGGAAGGAAAGGAGGGACTGACTCAAGAGAGGGAGGAGGGAGAGGGGCGTGAAGGAAAGCTGGTGAGGAGCCCTAGGCAGGAGGGGCCCAAGTCGTGGGGACTCGGGCGGAGCTTCAGTTCCTGTCGCTAAGGTGCTGGCCCAGTCAGAACTAGCTGGGTTCAGCTTCATCCTGAGAAGTGGTGCCGACGGAGCCTGCCAGGGAGGGGCTGCTGTTGGGCCAGGCGAGACAAGAAGTTGAAGAGTTAGATGCTGACCAGGTATCAACATGTTGTCCCTTGGAAGGACTCCTCCTGTCTCCCCTTGGCTCTTTCTGTCTGACGTTGTCCTGAGGACAGTCTCAGATCTTGTGTCCAGGAGTCTGGCCTGGGATCTCAGTACTGCCTGGGGCAGGCCTGGGTCTGGTCCACGCTGGCCTTGGCTCAGGAGGGGACCATGGAGACCCAGCTCAGTACTCTCGAGTCTGCTGGTTTCTTGACCATTTAGTGTCAAACTCGCCTCAGGGATCCTCAGCAATTAGTCCAATTACAAACCCTTTGCCTCTTCTCCTTTCCAGCAACAACTAAACGTGCAACGTCTCATAGATTGGTTCTTAGCTTTGCTACAAATAAAACCACAATCACAGCCTGATATCAGTCACCAAATTATTAATCCCTAACTTAACGTAAAACAAATGCCTATGTGAAACTGTTAAAGTATTGTAAGAATATTTATTTTGAGTGACTAAACTATACACTTCCTGTTCAGTGTTAAGGAAAATTGATCTTTATTATTCCAGGGAAATGTCAAGATCACTAAGGCTCGGAGCATTCTGACCTGTGTTCTGTTGAACAAACGCGCCACATGTTTCTCATAAAAATATACATCAGAGATGGCTTCAAACCGAACGTCAAACTTAGTTAAAGCCACGAACCTCTTCAAAGTTACTGTGAATATCAAATATAACAATCAAATGCACATCAGCATGAGCCATTTTTTTCTCAGGGGCTGCCTCATGCTGATGGATTTAGCAACTTTTTGAGTGTTATTCTAAGTGATGGAGGCAAGGCCCCTGCTCTCATCAGAATGACCTCTGCTGGCTGCTGAGTTGGGCTTTGGAGAAAGTCCCTTTCCACCAATTTTGTAAAAATGTATATAACTACTTATAAAAATACTTAAAAAAATTATGTTCTATATCTTGCTTGACCTGTGTGATTACCTGAGTGTATATATATGTAAAAATTTATCAAACTGTATGCTCTTCTGTATGTAAGTTATAGTTCAATTAAATCTGAATGTATATATATATTTATATTCCATGGAATGTAAGAATCGCTTTTTTTAAAGTTCTTTCTCGGAAGAGGTTGACAAGGGAGATGTGTTTTGTAGGCCACTGTTTAGTTGCTTAAAAATCCTACTTCCGTAATCTTCTAGACCGCAAGTGCGGTCTTTTGGATCTGATTCCTTGGTATCTTTTTTTAGGGCCCTAAGAAAAATCAGTGTCTGCTTGGCAAAGGGATAGATTCCCTCGAACGGGCGAGGCAGGGGTGGGAAAAGCAGGTATGAAAGGGGGAGGGCTGGGTCACCAAGTTTCATAAGCATTTTGTGGCTTCGGTTGCAGTGTGTGACTCTTGCACTATTTCATAATAGAGGTAATTATTAATTTCCAAAAGGGATTTTTAGGTAGTGGGTTTTGTTTTTTGCTTTAAACATCTCCAAAGACTCAATGGTACTGAAGGAGGCTAATTTCTAGAACAAAGACATGTTACTTTTCAGGGTTAAACTCCAGAAAAGTGTAAAGGCTTGTACATTTCTAAGCTATTGATATTTGTGTACTTAGTGGTGACTTGATGCCTTTTTTCCTCTAATATCTTTTCCTTTTGAAGCAAATCCTAAGTGTCACCTGGTTTAGAAGAGGTATGGCATAGTGTTTAAGAGCATGGATCCTGGAGCCAAACTGCTTGGGTTCAAATCCTGCTTCCCCACTGACTAGAGTATGGCTCTGAGCAAGAAGCTTTAAGATGAGGATGGTAACCCCTCATGGAGCTGTTGAGGACCAATTGAATAATAAAGCACTTGGGAAAGTTATGAGGGCATAGTGAGCTGCACAAAAGAGTTTGATACTGTAAGACTTTTCTGTCAATCGTTATAACAGCAAATGATACAAAATGTTTTCTTTCATGTGTAGGGCTATAATGCACAGATTGAGTTTAATGCTTCAAGTATCCAACTAAGGACAATGGGCCACTCTACAAAATATCTAGAGAGAGAAGTGTATTTGTGTGGATTTTTCTTTGTTTTTTTTTTTTTTTTTTGTGAGGAAGATTCGCTGTGAGCTAACACCTGTGCCAATCTTCCTCTATTTTGTATGTGATGCCACCACAGCATGGCTTGATGAGTGGTGTAAGTCCGTGCCCGAGATTCAAACCTGTGAACCCGGGTCGCCGAAGCAGAGTGCGCCGGACTTTAACCACTACGCCATTTAAGCCACTACCGCCACACAGAGGCCGGCCCCTCCTGTGGATTTCTGTTGACTCCATTCCTAGTCAAGTATCTTAATTACTTAGAAGCTCTAGTATCTGATAGAATGAGGACAGCATAAAAACTTTTAAAAATTATCAGGCTGGGCATATCAATATTTATTGAAATACTGAAAAAAAATTCCATTTTGTTGAGAAATTCCTGGCAAGAACCGACATGACATTATGTATTTCAATGACACAGGAAGGAAACGTCAACGAGTAACCAACTTCACACTTTAAACATTGCATGGATTCAGATCCACGGTAGCTGCAGAAGATCTGTGATACAAATATGCACACATTGCAAATTGTCTGTTTACACAGACCAACACTAATAAACCAGGCTAAGCCAAAAACCTTTCCAGTTGAGTCTGCTTTTACTAATAAATCCTGTAATTGATAAGGCAGTTGCTAAGTAAATGTCTGGTTACAAATTGGTTAATAATGAACACGAGGGAAGTTTCATCGGCCAGCGTTGGGTGGGTCGCCGGCGCTGGCTGTGGGGCGTTCTTGCTCATGAGGTTCCATCCCGGATGTCCCCGGCAGTGTGGGTGTAACTCTCCGTGTCGCCCACCTTTCTAACTGTTCTCATGGTGTAATTTACTAGCTTAACAACGTACCAATATCTGACGTTTTTTAGGTTTAATATTTAGTGGGGAGTACTGTATATTAAAATAAAAAAACACGGACTTTCAGAATCAATGTATTTGGGGATTTTTGTTTTTGCAATGTTAAAGACCCTTCAATTATGAGATCCCCCAGATCTCATAATCGCTTCCACCCATGTTCCACAGATATGACGGAACCATTTCTTTAACTGTTGACACCACTTCTCTCCACGTGTCTTCTAGCCAACTTGGTTTCTAACTGGGGAGAGCGAGGAGGCTGCCAGTTGATTCCATGCTTTGGATATGGACTCTGAGCAGAAATGTTTCATTGTCCTTTGAGCCATGACGATGACACAGGTGACTGAGACTCTGCATGAGGAGCTGTGGGAGCTCAGCCTAGCTAATGTGTACCCTTCATGTGGACGAGTATGAGAGGCGATTAATAAAAATAATAAAAGAATCCTCTTTGTACACACAGAAGTAATAACTAATATCTTTGGTATACAACTTACAATGCTGGGAAAGGAAAACCAGGTAGGACTCCACTGTTGTTAAATTCACTTGAAAACAGAGTCACATAATTTACAATAGATATTAAATAAACTACAGTAAGAATTATGAAGATTTACAGACATTTAATCAAGTGAATGATTTTAATTCATTAAGACCCTTCTCTGCCCCTGAACTATGTTCCACTAACTTGAAGACATGCTACAATAAACACATATATTTGGTTTCTTCCATCTTGGCGATATCTTATACAAAGGTGAAACCAAGGAACAATAAATTAGCATCATAATTGTCTACAGTTGAAACTATGATATACAATATAAATAAACTATTCAAAAGCCAGAAACATTTGTGAAAAAATTAAGGGACCAGGAGATACTTCTATCTTTACAATTTCTACAAAGTGATTGTGCCACCAATAATCTTGAAAAAATTAAAGTCTAAATGAGATTCCTGTTTTTGATTTTAGAGTCTCACGACATACAATAATTAAGGACTGTTAAAAATAATTACCGATCAGAAAAATAACATTAAGGAAATTACTGCTTTTGCTATTTTGTAATATCACAGTCCTCCCTCCCCCCACAGGACCTAAAGAATGTAAACACTATGTTTTATTGGACTTTATTAATACTTTATTTTAAACAAATGTTGATCCACATCTGCACAGCTGCCTTTTATGATTGTGAAATAAGGCAAGACCTCCATACCTGTGGCACTGCGTGTTAATAATACTGATACTGTTGTCTGGAGAGCTTGTTTGCAATTCTCTGTCCTCCAATATTTGTTCTATAGCAGACTTTGGTCTATGACTTAGAAAGGTCAATATCACTCTCTTCCTTTCCCTTTTGGGGAAGATTTGAATTACTTTAATATCTTTCCAGGCCACATGTAAAAATCGCTGTTTCCATTCTACATTTAGGGGATGTTCAATTGTAACAAGAACAAACCTCGAGTCAACCAATTTATCTGCTCATCCTTTCTTGTCTTTTTGCATAGCTTAACATGCTTCGGTTTTGTTTTAAACTACTTAGAACCGTGACTATTTGACATCCCAGCAAAATATGGTTTATGTTTTATTTTTAAATGAACTACAAACTTCGATGGTTTGAAAGACTGATGGATTCTAACAAGTCTTTCGGCCAGAAATTTTTATGAAATCCAGCAATGCCAAAGCCACATTTCAGTAACAGTAGCAGAAATAAGGTCTAGCTTGCTTTAGCTATGGCACATTTGCTTTAAAAGTTTGTAGTCATTTCCCTTAATAGTAATTAATGCTTCTAGAAGATCAGAAGAGGGATACTACCTGCTTTTTTAACATTATGAACACACGACAAAACAAACCAGAACATATTTAACATGGCAAGCTAACATATTAATAGACTGTTCTTATTAGCTGTTTGCAGGTCTAAGACAGACATTCAAAATTAGGCTTTTCATGATTTGATGGAGCTACTAGTGGGTGTGGCTGAGCACAAGTCCTTAGCACAGATTCCGTGATCACAGGACAGAAGGTGCTGGGTCCTCGGAAGGAAGAGGGACGGGCTATTACAGGTGCAGCTGATGGAATCTTGAGAATCAGTTCAGCTTTACCATGGAGGAATTTTGTAAGCTCAAATCCCCCGCTGTAAAAGCCTAATTAATAACACAGATCAGTTCCTAAAGTTGTTCACAGCGGAGATCAGTTTAAATATACAAGAACTGTTCTGTCCATTTTTATTCTGACATGGCGTTGGTATCCGTCTGTGAGTTTAGTCCACTCCGTTAGTGTCTTTTATATGGACTCCTTTGGGGATGTGAAGCCTTTGATTCACAGTTTGCAATACAAATACCCTGATACATCATTTATTTGCTATTAAGTATTTGATTATTATGCCTTTTTAAATTCAATATCTTTAAACCAAGTTTTTAATTAGCGTTGCTTGGAGCAGTTCAGAGTATTTTTTTTTTCTTTCTTCCTGTTCTTCTCCCACCCAGCCCCGCCAATCTCTTTTTGCTTTGAAAGCAGAGCTCCTAGGCGTTGTTACTTAAGCTCTTTTGGCATGCAGCATTTCAATGAGGAGGTTGTTATAGGGCACATCCCCGTTCAGGTGCTTGTAGTAGAGGTACTCCTCAGCCTGCGTGCTGATGGCTCGGATTTCCGGTAGTCGAAGTAGCAGCTGCCCAAACTTCTCTGTCTGCTGAGGGTAGTTGCACATGGTGTAGTCCAGCAGGGCGGCATTGACTTGCTCCTGGACACCTTCTACCAGCTGGAAGTTCTCAAGGTTTTTGACATCTGGATTAAAAAAAAAAAAAAAAAAAGGCACAAATTTCAATGGCATTTTAGTTCCTGTTTACTACAGCCGTGTGTTCAATTAATGGATGTATTTTCCCCCTGACATAAAGCATACTTCATATGCTGCTGAATATTCAGTAAGCCTCACTCACCAAGCTTCCTGGGAAAATGATCACAAAAGAGCTTTAGAAGAATGTCTTGTTGAAATTCTGCATATACCTCAAATCAATTAGACACCAATGGATTTTGAGCAAGGTCAACTCTTTTCATATCTTACAAAAGGAAAGGTTTGAGGATTCCTAAAGTAGAGGGATCATAATATATTGCCAGCAAATGAGTCCCCAGAGAAAGACCTATCTTAACCCAGTATATTACACAATTCATATCATTCTGTATTAATTTTTCTGACCCAAGGTGAAATCTGCGTCCAGGGCATGATGTAGTTAATTCTAATAAAAAATGACAGGGTTCTTGTTTCTGTTTGACATTTTCTAAATGATTCTGAAAGCCTTTGACTAGTCTAGCCTATGCTAATGAACCATCTGGTACACTCCAGTGACTGCCAACGGAATATTCGCTACTGGGAACTCTCTAAAATATATATCTTGGTGACTAATGATCTTTATCAAATGAAAGCCTTGTCCTTTAGGCAGAATACAAGCCAGGATGGCCAGTGCCCTTTAACCTGAATATGGGGTCTAAAGTCTGACACTTTGCTTTTTTCTTCCAGTACTGGGTCACTCATATAGACGAGATGGAAACAGGCAATTCCTTCAGCCTATAACTCCTGGTGACCATCCAGTGGTTCTACGGCATCTGCCCTAGAGGTCCTTATAAATACTGAATGAGAGGGAAACACAGAGTTAGAAAAAGAAAAACAGCCTGACATATACACACACAGACAATGAGGGAAATGGTTACGTTGGAATTTCTCTTCTGGAGTTTATTTATGTTAACAGTACAACTTTTATACAATGTGCATATAGAAATCTCTGGAAAAGATATAGAGATGTGTGTCTGTGTTTACATACACCCATGCTCAGAAAGTAAACAGATGCGGCCACCTTCCACCTCAGGTTTATTTTCTAATTGGACAAAAATAAATAAGAACAATTCTGAAGAAAACCACATAAGACTAGGATGAAAAGGTTAAATGTACTAAACTCAGTTAATAGTTATCAGAGTAACTCATATCCAATATTTTTGGCACTCTTTGCTCTTAAACTTAGCCTGTACATGTGTGCATGTCCATTTCAGTATTTTGAAATGCTCTTACAATAATGTTGCCTTACATTTGCTGTTGAAATGTGTCCAGGATGATTTCAGTGTTTACATTCTGAGCCATAAAACATGCTTCCCCCTTTCCATCCCCAAGTCTCTGCTCCAAATTAAAAACAGCAAGGAATTAGTACTGAAGTAGATATATAGTGTGAGCATTGGATCCCATATCTACTTCAAAGTGAGATGGGAGAATCAAAAAATATTTGATTATTTTTTAGTGAGATATACCAACAGACAAACGCTACACCACTAGGAGCCCCGTGTCTTCTGGCATTTAAACTGGCAGCCGAGTCGTCCACCTGACCCTTGACACACACGGACCTGACAGTTAATACAGCATTTCCCATCTACCTTATTCAAAATACTTTAAAAATTCTTTTAAATTAGTTAAAAATACTTAAAAACATTAGCTACATATGGCTCAAAATTACAAAATGTAAACAATTGCAAAGACCTTCAATATGTTGTGCCTGAGTACAAGACAGAAAAATCTGCACTCACGTTAGTTTTGTCCTCTGCCGCCCATGTTATACTTGCATGGGCTCACACTCTGGTTCCGGAGATAGGTCCCTCATCAAGTATCACGGCAGAGAGCCAACATAATTTAAAATAGTTCATCTGAATTCTGACAAATTTCTCTGTGCTGCTTCTCTTTCCCCTCCACCCAACTTAGAGAAGACAGAATTTAGCTTTCTCTTTTACATACAACTAGAAAGTTGAAAAAGAAAACAAGCAACTTCCAGTCTTATAGTGATTTAAACACAATTACAGAAAAAAACCCTGAAATGGAGTATTATGTTATGCTACAATGAAAGATATTCTCACAAGCAAGAAAAGCTAACAATCGTCATAGATATTAATAGGGAGGATGTAGGAATTTGCACAGCATAAAATGTAAGATAAACGAATAATAGTCTTTTTAGAAAGTTGTTTTTGAAACCTTCTTTTTTTTGATAAATGTATTTTTTGAGAACTAGGTTCAACTAGGTTCAACCTTCCGTGATAAGTTATGCCGCTCTGTTAAGGCAAAAAACAAACAAACAAACTACTAACAAACATAAAACAAAGAACAGATCATAAGTTCTGATTTATTCACTTATTATTACAGAATGAACACAAAGTCTTCAGATCAGCATTTGCTGGATTATTTCTACGAATACTGGTCCAAACTGGCACCTTTCTCCCAAAAGTTTAAAAATATATGCAATTTTCCTTCTGAAGGAAAATATACAGGTTTGCCATACACTGGCCATATATACAATTTTTCTCTCAAGTTCATCAGAGTTGAAGTCACATGACTGAGTTAATCATCCCATTAAGCTATTTCTATGAATTTATCATTAAATATAAGAAAAGTTGGGCCGGCCCCGTGGCTTGGCGGTTAAGTGCTCGCGCTTCGCTGCTGGCGGCCCAGGTTCGGATCCCGGGCGCGCACCGACGCACCGCTTCTCCGGCCATGCTGAGGCCATGTCCCACATACAGCCACTAGAAGGATGTGCAGCTATGACATACAACTATCTACTGGGGCTTTGGGGGAAAAACATAAATAAATAAAAAAAAATTAAAAAAAAAAAATGTTATGCTGCTAATTGTCCCAAAGATACTTATTTACTGAATGTCTGTTTGGTTTCTATGTCTATACAGGCAATTTGTAATTTGGCGGCAATGATGCTAATATTTAAGCTATAAGGTTAAAAAAATTAAAAAAAGAAAGGAAAAGATTTTGATTGAATTACTCTCATTTACTGAACAAGTAGTTTCTGGATCAGAGTCTGCTGGCTGGCTCTATTTCCAGTGATGTATTCCTCTCACTGCATTGTGCACTGTTTTCTTAACTGTTCATTTCCCTATGTAGATTGTAAGCATCTTGGGGTGAGGACTATAAATTAGTCAAGGGATCCTCAGAGAATATTCCAAATAACATATTATTGGCATATTTGTCCAAGATTGATATAATTGTGAAACAACCTATTACATTAACTAAGTATCTCATAAGCCAATTTTCTTTTTCTAATTTGAAACTGGCTTTCAAAAATTGATTTATACAATAGAACTCGCTCTGAAATAAAATATTTTAATGTAATAATAGTGTTTTCTATTCAAAGAATCTTGTGGTGAAGCCTTTTGTCATCTGAATAATCAAGTCTTAATTTACGTATTTGCCAAGGAGGATTTTCACTGGTCAGTGTTGCTTTAAGGGAATCTGCCCATGTCCTCATGTGAGTTTGGAATCGGGTCCCTGGGTCCCCAGGTCCTTGGGTCTCTTGCATCTCCAGTGTGACAGGCAGACTGGTTTTCCCACTATGGTTGAGATGGTTCACAAGGACCTACAAGCAACGACGAAGATGAGTGCAAAATACACACGACACCACCTCTCGGATGACTCGGAATTTTCTCTTTTATGTAGTTCACTTGTATTTACCTTTTAGGAAGAGTCCAGAAATTTAAGTGTGCTCCTACAATTGTCATGGAATTCATTTTTACGCTAATTCATGCCCTTTCGTGAAAATTTAAACACGAAATACATTTAAAATCTTCACCATTTTGTATGGGATGTCCCTCCTATAAATCCAGCCCTATTTCACACTACGTAATGAATGGGGCCTCGCACACCTGGGTGTCTTAACTCAGCTCCAGCAGGAGTCTGTAACACCAAAAATTCACGAGTGAATTGATATTAAATTATATGAGAAAACAAAATCTGGACAAATTAGTACATGTGCTGGAGTCCTCAGAAATACACATTTTTGAGATGTGCTGTTCGGTTCCCATATGAAATAGCATTGCACCACGTTTGGATTTTAGAAAAAGACCCAGCTGGAGGAGTAGAGATTGATAGGAGACCAAAATCCCCAGCAGTTCTTCTGTGGCGTTTTATGCTGGATCTCCAAGTCTCCCTGCAGTTGGCACTCGATGTGCTCCTTTGAAATTTATGTAAGCTTCATTTTAATACAATTTAAAAACACAAGTTAATGAACCCTATCATTACAAATTCTGAGCCAGAAATGGTACGTAAACAGACAGAGGCATCCCCAACCCTTTCTCTACCGCCTTTAAATTTTGATGACTGGCAAAGCATTTTGTGCTTCTCCTCTAAGTATCAATCTCTTATCATCTATTCTACTTTATTCACTCAGGGACTAATTACCAACTTTTTATATGAAGCAGCATTACGATAAGCTCACAGTGGGGTGCTCAGATTTTTTTTCCATCCTTATTGGAAAGTAAACCCTTAGGTCTTCTTGAATATATTATAGCACTGGCTTTTCAGTCATACCCAGCATTCAGTCTCTCTCTGAAGATGAAGATACTGATTTCTGCCTCGTGGCATAGCCGGTAAATTTTCCCATTCAGCACACTCTTTTGAGTATGGGTCCTTTGCTGAGCCAGGGGGCTGGGAGACTAGGAAGCACAAATGGGGTGTGCCATCTTCTGCTGAGAAGATAGCTATCTGTGTTAATTTTCCACACGTGGGGAAAAAAAATCTCATCTGGCCCTTTAAAAGATATAAAAGTGGGGAAAAGAGGTACCATTTTGCACCCAGAGAACACTTCTTTTCCTTGAGGCTTTGGAGGGATGACAATCTGTAAATTGGCACACAATTTGTCCTCAGAAGACTTTTTCTTTTGATAAGCCAGAAAAGGAGAAAGGAAATGAATTTTCTGCAGGAAATTAATTTTTTATACAAGTTGTATAAATAATTTTGTAAGAAGTTTTGG